GTCTTCAAACTCAAGAAAGCGCTCTACGGTCTTAAACAAGCACCGCGTGCTTGGTACGAACGTTTGAGCAAATTTCTTTTGGATAGTGGTTTCCAAAGGGGAAAGGTAGACACCACACTTTTTATCAAGAGTAAAAACAATAACATCCTTTTGGTTCAAGTTTATGTAGACGACATTATATTCGGTGCTACTAACGAGTCTTTGTGCAAGGAATTCTCAACGCTAATGACTAGCGAATTTGAAATGTCAATGATGGGCGAGCTCACATTCTTTTTGGGACTCCAAGTTAAGCAAATGAAAGATGGCACATTCATTTGCCAAGCTAAATACTGCAAGGAGCTCCTAAAACGGTTTGAAATGGACAACGCCAAAGCCATGGCGACCCCGATGAGCACGTCTGACCATCTTGACAAAGACGAGAAAGGTAAGGAAGTAGAGGTCAAAAAGTATCGAGGTATGATCGGATCCCTTCTTTATCTTACCGCTAGTAGGCCGGATATCATGTTTAGCGTTTGCCTTTGCGCAAGGTATCAATCGTGTCCGAAGGAGTCGCACTTAATGGCGGTAAAACGGATTATGAAATACCTTGCCGGCACGGTCAACGTTGGACTGTGGTATCCAAAAGACTCTTCTTGTCATCTCGTTGGTTACTCCGACTCGGACTTTGCCGGTTGCAAATTGGACCGTAAAAGTACGAGTGGGACTTGCCACTTACTTGGTAGTTCCTTAGTTTCATGGTTTAGCAAGAAGCAAGTCAGTGTTGCGTTATCCACAACCGAAGCAGAATATGTAGACGCCGGCAGTTCTGGTGCTCAAATCCTTTGGATGAAGCAACAACTCATGGACTATGGCCTTAGTATCAATCACGTCCCTCTTCGTTGTGATAATACTAGCGCCATAAGCTTGACGAAGAACCCCGTTCTTCACTCAAGGACGAAACACATTGACATTAGGCATAATTTCATTAGAGATCATGTTCTCAAAGGTGATGTCGAAATTGAGTTTGTTGAAACACACAACCAATTAGCCGACATTTTCACAAAACCTTTAGAGAAAGAGTCGTTCTTCCGCATTCAAAGTGAACTCGGAATCCTTGACTCCACGATGATCTAAGTTGTGCATCTAAATTTTTTAAACATTTACTAACTTGAGCGTCGGAGAACTTTTTCTTTTTTTTTTGCAGGTACCCCGTTCATGAAATCAGGGGGAACCATGCAAACAGCGCTGTCCAGGAGACACAACAGCGCTGTTGAGGGAAACACCGTCAGCCAGAAAGTTGTCCAACAGCGCTGTACAACAAGCCAACAATGCTGTCCCAGGGAGTCCCTTAAATCTTCACTTTCCTGAAACTTTTTGAACATCGATGTTCCCTTTTAAACATCGCTGTCTTCCCAAACCATTTTGTTTTCAACCAAAACCAGAAACTTTTTAAACAGCGATGTATTACCTTCAACATCGATGTCCACTTTTACAATTTTTTTCCTCTATCGCAAAACAGCAATGTAGAGAAACCCAACAGCGTTGTTCTAATGGGTTCACACCCTTACACAATTCCAGAAACTTTTGGAACATTGCTGTAGGGTACCCAACATCGCTGTCCTTTTGACTCCTGTTTTTTTTAAAACATGACGCAGAACGGCGCTGTACAAGGAACAACAGCGCTGTCCCAACAGCGATGTCGCCTGTAGAACATCGTTGTTCTGGTCAAAATTTTCAAAAAAAAAAATTATCCGTTGGCAGCAGCATTAACTTCTCCAACAGCCATATTTTTGAAAATCAGGCCGTTGGAGACCACCTTTTCTATAAATTGGGACCCCCCTCTCTTCCCTTTTACACACACAAACATAAATTCCTTCAATATCTTCACATATTTCATCCTCTCTACTCTAATTTTTTTTGAGATTTCTTCACCATGGGCAAAGACAAGAGCAGGGCTGCCTCGGGCCGCCCATCCATCCACTCCGCCAACCCCGAAGGCCTCCTCGTCCTCTACATCGTCTCCCGGATCATCAAACCCAGGAAGCACGGCCACACCATCATGCACGGTGAAGACCTCAAGCTTATCCATGCGATCATGCATTCAGCCCCAATCAATTGGGCAAAGTTTGTCATGATCAACATGACGATTGCCGCGTCCACCGAGCACGACCACCCCCTCCCGTACCCGTTTTTGGTGATGGACATCCTTGAACGGTTCAAGGTAACCACCACCGTTGGCCCGCTCTCGAAGGCCACGAAGATTTGGACAATCAGCAACCAAACCTTCATCAAGCGGTCGGACAACGCCGCGACTGCCACTGCCGCGCCACGCCGCACTGCCACTACCACTGGCCCAGCCGAACCCCTGGCCCGGGCCAACCTCGGCTCCATCGCCGACTCCCTCAACCGGCTCCACCTCAAGGTTGACGGGATGGGGAGCTACCTTGAATGGCTCGACGTGGCCGATCAACGCCAAGGGTACGCCATGAACGCATACTTCCAAGGCATCAACTACTTCCCGCCACCACTCCACGACACCTTCCTCGGCGAAGTCTACGGTGATGAAGACGAAGAGGATGAGTCCTTCTCCCAGTCAAGCTCCCCGGACGAGGATCAGTTTGACGATGCCGTTGATGATGATGAAATGGACGTCAACGACGACGAGGAGGAAACCGAAGACGAAGCCTAGGACTCCCCTAGCATTTCTTTCTTTTCTTTCGTTTATCCTGTTTTTAATGCTTCCGTTGTACTCCACTATTTCCTTTAATAAATAAAATCATCTTTTCTCTTTTTGTTAATGTCAAAAGGGGGAAGAAAAGGGCTATGCATATACTAAGGGGGAATGTCTCTATAAACGAGACCGTTTGATTTTAATCCAACTAAATTTTTTTGTAAGCACAAATTAAGGGGGAACTTTTTCACAACCTTTTGAAAAACAAACATCCCTTAGTATGCATATCCCCGTCTTGTTTGCCATTATCAAAAAGGGGGAAATTGTTGGAACACGGGTTTACGCCTACGTCGTACTAAACTGTGTTCGTTTTTATGACAGGTTTTGATAATGCCAAACAACCGCGACATATCAAAGCTAAAGTGAGCAAAACTAAGGCTAAGGAACATGGCATGATAATTTGAGAACCAAGAACCCAGAATCAAGAACGAAGAATTAGAATTGCATTGAGTCGGTCTTAATGTGATCAAGACCGGCACAAAGTTCCAAATCTTGGCTCTCTAGGCTCAATTCATAAAAATCTCTTTTACATATTCAAAAAAATTTTTCTTAAGTTTAAACTTGGCTAAAAACACTTGGAGTTCGCCCAAACCAAAAACCAAGCCATCCGGCGTTCGGTCTTCAGAAACCGGCGTTCGGCTCTCGATTTTTCGGCATTGGTTTTTGGCGTCCGAATCAACCAAGTGGTTTTCAACCTTTTATGACTGGTTTTTACTTCTGGGCGTATTTAAATAGTTCTCCAACAAAAACGCCTCAAAAACCACTTTCCGTTTTTGGTCGTTTAGTGAGAACCATGCGAAACAGCGCGAACTTGGCTAGCCGTGGTTTTCAACTAAATGACGTGGTTTTTAAGATGTTTTACTTGATTTCTTAGCAAAATGCAATAAACAAATGTTTTCTAAACTTGGTTTTTATTTTTAGAGAACTTGCGTTTTTGACATCGGCTAACGGCGTGACTAAACCAACCATGGGTCTGGCTAAACCAGCCCAACAGCGATGTTGAGGTAATCAACAGCGCTGTCTGGCCTGGGTAGCTAAAAACATGGTTTGGCGTTAAGTCTTCCAACAGCGATGTTGGACACTAGACATCGCTGTTGAGCCAAGGTTGGATTTCCAGAAACTTCTGGAACAGCGATGTAGGCTTCCCTACAGCGCTGTCCAACCTAAGCCAAAAAATATAGTGCATTGGCAGAATGTTTTTGGACAGCGATGTTGACCCAGCAACAGCGCTGTCAGGCCAAACTTCCATCTTCAAAGGCAGACCTAAACAGCGATGTTCTAGTATGGAACATCGATGTAGAGACCTGACCGTTGGAAGAAATTTAAGGCTAAAACTTTCCTTGTTTGGAAGTCAACAGCCAAAACAGCGATGTAGGAATTTTAGACATCGCTGTTGGCATGACCGTTGCTTCCCATTTTTCAAAACGCAAGCCTAGAACAGTGATGTCCAGGCCTAGGACAGCGCTGTCTGGGTGAATTTCAGCAGATCCAAATTTTATCAAATCCCACAAATTGTGCCAATCACCCCTTAAATACTTTGGTCCGTTGGAGCCTATTTTTCTACTATAAAATGGGGTGTTTGGGTCTGTTTTACACATCACATTACTTCACAACTCCTACTCTTTCATTGCAAATTATTCCTCAACTATTCATAGCTTTTTGAGAGCCATTTTTTTGTGAAGCTTGTGTTGTGTTCTTGAGGGTTCTTAGTTTACTCATTATCCACTCTAAAAGAGAGTATTGTTCTTGAGTGTTTTNACTCCTACTCTTTCATTGCAAATCATTCTTCAATTATTCATAGCTTTTGAGAGCCATTTTTGTGAAGCTTGTGTTGTGTTCTTGAGCGTTCTTAGTTTACTCATTATCCACTCTAAAAGAGAGTATTGTTCTTGAGTGTTTTTAGTGTTCTTAGACACTTGACAAGAGAAGGTATTTCTCTTGTTGTTCGAAGGAAGGGCTGTTTCCTTCGAAGGTTCGTTGAGGTTCGTGTGACTCGAATTCTCAAGTTGTACGGGTTTGTTAAGTACCGTTAAGCTTAACGAGATAGTAGTGTAGCTCGAGAGAGTCTCTCGGGAGGCTGGATTAGCCACAAGTTGTGGTGAACTAGGGTAAAATCGGTGTGCCTCTTTACTTCTCGTTTATTCATTTTTTTATTCCTGCGATTTCTTGATCAAACGCTATTCACCCCCCTCTAGCGTTGGTCTATTATTCTAACATATTATTATTACCATTATTATTAGTACTTTATTACTATTACTATTACAATTAATATAATAATTATAATTATAAATACTATTGTTATTATTATTATTACTATTAATATTAATACCCCAAGTAAAATTATTATTGTTACTATTATTATTATTAGTTGTAGTATTATTATTATTACTATTACTATTGTTTTTACGGCCCGGTTCTAGTGACACCGGAGAACGGTGCCACTGTCTTTTTGGGGCACCTCTGGTGCTCCGTTTGATGCCGGGCGAGAACATTATGTATACAATGATAAAGAATATAAAACACAAAAATATCTCATAATTAGTGATATAAAAATAACTCACAAACTTTCACATGTATACTAATTTTTGGTATAATATACGGAGTAGTAAATTGCATGATATTAGTTAAATAAAAATATATAACTAAAAATTCTAAAAAACTTCTTTATAAAAAAACATTATTTCAAGTATAATCTAGTCCATTTTTTTCTTCATTGCAACTCAAAATCTTCAAATCCTGTCGATTTGGGATCTGTGAAATAGCAACATAAAGTTGATCGTGGTTGAAGTCTGCTTTTTTTAAGAGTAGACAACCTTGCATTATGAGATTGAGATGTGGCGGTTACATTAAGTGATGCTTGGAGAGAAAAGTAATTGGTAGACTCTAATGAACTAATCCCATCAAATTGCCTTATGGTGAGTACTGCATAATTAACATGTCAGAGATGTTGATATATAGTTAAATATGATTTTTATAAATTTTTTAAATTTAATCTTTATAATTGTTTGTAAAACATATTTAATTACCGTTAATTAGTTTTTTCAATAGATGGGGTTTGTCTGACAATCCTTTGCATTGGAGATGTTTATATAAGGTAAACTCCACCTGCTACCAAGTGAAGTACACAATTTTTACGACTGTGATTGTAGCATTATGACCATGCATTTTGGTATGTATCAAAATATTTTTTTACTATGAAAAGTAAATGTTTCTAAATCAAAAGTTTGATAGAATGTTTATATAGTGATATATTACAATTTTTAGCTTTTGAGATTAAAGTTTACAATTTCCAATAAAAAATTTATAGTAACTTGTTTATTTAATCTTTACAAACTAGTGTTTTAACCCGTGCCATGCACGGGTGGAACAAAATTTTGTTATATTCTATAATTTTTTATTAAAGACAATGTTCTTTTGGATTCTGACTTTTAGAGTTTTTTTTTGTTGTGAGAAAAATAATTTTTAAAGAATCTAAATCTATTTTTCTTTGGTTACATAAGTAGTAGGAAATCATTTTTTAGAAAAAAAGATTATATTTCCTATAGATGAATGTCAATTTTCTTTGTAATTACTTGAGTTCTCTAATTCTACGAACAAAGCAAAAAACTACTCTCATCTCAACTTCATTCCTTAAACCTTATAAAACAAAACTCTATAATAGAGATTGATACATATTGTGTCTGAAAATAATATAATTCTGTCACCTCTAATTTTGTAAAACTTTTGATCTCGTTTTTAAATATGTATTTTTTATTATTTAACTTTGCACAAATCATCATATCAAGAGAATTAAAACTAATTTTATTCAAACGTCGTAATGAAGAAAATTTATGGATGAAGAGAGTATTTATTTAAAAAAAATCATACACTGATAAACATTTTCGTAAAATTAATTAAAATTTGGTACTTTAAATTCTAAAAATATTTTTTAAAACAAATTTTCAATAATAATTCAAGATAATAAAATAATTTATAGATTTTTGATGTAGTATGATTAAATATATAATTAATATCACTATATTATTTTGGAAAATTATTTTAAATAATCCCATATTTTCATCACTTTTTTCAAAAATAATCTCACTTTTTACTGTCAACGAAAATAATCTCACATTTCTGCATGTGTGCGAGTTTTGAGCCGCCGTAAAAAAACTAACAGCCACTTAACATGATTTTTTCAAAATACATATTTTGAGAAAATAAATGAAAGGTGGGATTATTTTAGGTAAATTTATTTTTGAATTTTTTAACATGTAAAGTTTTTTTAAGGATAAGAACCAAATTCAGATATTAAGGATTAAGGATATAGAATAATTGCTCGTATTTTTCTCAACATAATGACGCAGAAAGAGTCAATGCATCTCCTTCCTTTGGACCTCTCGGTCAAACAGTTATTGAGAGAAGATAAATTAAACTTTGAATCTGGTACTTATAAAGGCCTCATGCTTAGCATAATTGCCTTCCATCGCAGTTGTTTGTAATCAAACTCTGGTCTTACCCCCTTGGCAAATCTTTACTTTTGTCAAGTATGCGATAGGGTGGAACGAACTTTTTGTTTCGAATTTTTAAGTTTTCTTTTTTTACAACATTCTTAAAAAATCAAATAAAATAAAATATCAACTTTAAAAGTTAAAATAATGATAAAATAAATAGAAATCACCCTAAATAGTATTAAAACATAGAGAAAAGTACCAAAATAGAACTTTCATGTTTTTTTCCCGAAATAGGACATTGCATGTGGTAATGTGATTTTGCCCTGTTGTAATGTGACAGTGTACATGTGCAAATTACTATACTTTTTTTGGTAATGTATATGACCATGTATGGTAATGTAAGTCTTATTTTGGGGGAAAAACATAGAAGTCCTATTTTGGTATATTTTCAATGTGTTAGTCCTACTTTGGTCTTTCTTCCTAAAATAATCACACTCGTCCCACAAAAGCTTTAGGGTCCGTTTGGTCTACAGAATTGGTGTAATTAGAATTGAATTGGAATTAGGATTCCATGTGTTTCAATTCCAAAGAATTGAATTAACACAATTTCAATTCACTTTTCGCACCAAACGAGGCCTTATGGTTTTGACTTTTAAAAGGTTTAAGG